TTTTTTTGGTACTGGGGATCGAACTCAGGTCCTTGGCTCTTGCAAGACAGGCGCCGGAGCCACTAAGCTAAATCCACAGCCCAGCTTTTCTCTCTTTCTGAGAAATGTTCTCACTAGTTGCCCAGGCTGTCCTGGAACTTGTGATACTCTTGTCTCAGCTTCCTGAGTGCCTGACTTTGTAGGGGCCTCTGAAGGGGTCACCCAATGTTCAGCATTAGGTCAAGGCTGATAGCCCCTACAGAGGTCTCAACAGCTTCTCCCAAGGGCACTACTCCCTCTTGCCTGGCCTTGGCCATGGTGGCCCCAATCTGTTAATGTCTGTGCTGCCTCCTGGCCTCATGTTTAGCGGTTCTCCTGTGCCCCTACAGCTAAGTGATCACTCTGTGTCCCCACCATTGGCCTTGAGGGACTGCTGTGTTGGTCTGTCATTGGGGACAACAGAAGCACCTTCAAGAGCTGGCCATTGTGCAGGCAGAATGGAGGGTCCTGTTCACTGTGCTATGCCCCGGGGGAGTTTTGTGGAGTGAGAAGACACTGTGAGACTGTAGGGGCCCCAGGGTGCTGGCTGCTGTCCTGAGTTTCCTCATCTGTGATGCTGGTGGGGGGCTCTCCAGGGTGCCCAAGCTGAGTGACAGTGGCTGTTGCTATGTGCAACTATGTAAAGATTACTTGGAGACATGACTTAGTTCAATCACTGAGAGACCCACAGAAGCTGCTTCTCCATATGAGAAAGCCTCAGAGAAATCAACAAGCTGAGAGACCTATGTAAGTTATTTATTTGTAACTCAAGGACATGAGAGCAAAGATATAGAAGAAAAGCACTTGCAACATTTGTATAGGAATTTTGGACAGGGGAGGAATAGGATGGTTTTTATGTAACACATGTCAGCCAAGTTTAAGGAATCTTACTGGGGCAGAGGGGACACAGTGATGGGCTGAAGCAAACATCTCTAAGAATAACTTATTGTTGATTCTGCTGACTGTACTCCTGCAGATCTGCTCTAAACCAGGAGCATGGGAACTATTATTCCCAAGGTCCCTTTTCACATTCAGTACAATTACTACTTTGGCCAGAGCTCCCCACAGGAGGCCTGGTACAGGGGGCACTGTTACCCACATAACCTGGGATCTATGCTGCCTATTTCAGATCCACACATATACCCGTGGCTGCCACAGAGACCAGAACCTTGGCCACCTGTCTGTCACTGAAACTAAGATGCTCAGGGACCCAGAGGGCAGCCAGAAGGTGAGGATTCAATGAGTGAGGCCTGTTGGGATGTCCTGGGGCTGGTCTCAGGCTTTGAGCAGTGGCTCTCTCTGGGTGTCTGCCAAGCTCACTGTCATTGCTGGTGTGGGTGACAAATGTGTTTAGACTTCTTCCTGCCCAGGGACTCTCCACTTCTTCTGGCATCTGGCAGGTGCTGTGCATGCCTGTCCCTTGGCCAGGTTGGGCAGCCAAAGGAGCACAGGGGCTGGGCCGGGCTGACACTGGCTGAGCACGGGGCCTCTGGAATGAAGGAATCTTGGCCTCAGGTCTGGGGTGAACCTGGAGTGCATGGGGGTATCACGGGCTGGGGGGTGGCTGCCTTCAGAGCCAGGGCCTGTGGGAAGGGTCAGCTGAAGCAGGGCAGACCTAGTGGCTTCAGTCTTGCTTGCTGACCATGGGTACTGGCTGCCTTTGAGGCAGGGCTGCCCTGGGTGATGGGCTCCTGCTGTCCTAGGTAGAAGGCTGGGCCCCAGAGAGCACAGGTGTAAAGGAAAGGAGGCACTGAGCCTGAGTGGCTGGGGACCCCAGGTGTCCTTTGTCTGAGGCATCTCCCCAGCATGTCCAGTTCCCCTACTTCTGCTGTCTCCTTCCCCCACTAACTTGTCCCCCTTCCTCTTCCCATCCTTGCCACTGCTTCTTTCCTCTTGGCCACCTTCATCCTTGGGCTTCCTGGACAGGCCCAGGGCTGACTGTTACTTAAAGTGGGGCTCTGGGGCATCTTTGACTTGTGGCTTGAGCTGTCTAGCCCTGGTGTGTCCTGCTGGGAAGGAGGGCTGGAGCCAGCTGAGGCAATCCTCCTTCCAGCCTGGTCCCTTCCTCTCTTCTTTCTTCCCCACTCCTGAGACTTGGCCTCACCCTCTGGCTGTCCTGAACCTTGGGCAGGTAAGACCTGTGGACCTAGGGCCAGAGACAGATGTTCTGCCTCGTCTACAGGGCTTCTGCAGATCTCTGCCTGGAGCATGCTCTAGGCAACTGGACTCCACAGTGGCTGAGGTGCCCCTGCTAGCACCTGCCCAGCTTGGTGCCAGGTAGCCCAGCTCAGGTAGGGCCTGTGCTTTGTGTGGAGGTGCTGAGGCAGCATTTGGATGCCCCATGTACCTTTGGCTCTGTCCCTCATTCAGAGGTGATTCAGCCCCATTCCTGCATTGGAGCAGAGCCGAGGCTTCCCAGGCTCAGTCTGGGCCTGCATGGGATTGCTTATGGGGCCCTCTGTGGGGCTGCAACCAGGGGGGCTGAGGTGCCCCTTATTCAGAGGCTGGCGTGTGTTGGTGCCACAGGACTGTGGGAAGCCGTGGTGGGGTAGCCTGGGGCCATGGTTGTGTTCCTTCCAAGTTTTAGAGGAGCAGCTGGCTAATGCCTGGATCGGGCCTACCTGGGGGGCCTACACTGTTGGACTGGGTCCCTGAAGCTTTTGGAAGGATCTGTAGCTGGTGTGGTGCTGGGCACGCTGTTGGGTGGCTGAGCAGTCCCCCTGATCACAGGGAAGCTTGTAGCCTTCTGTATCCCTGCCAGAGAGGGAGGCAGAGAGGTGGCTGTCCCAGGGGGGTGAAGTGGAATGGGAAAGGAGGGGAGAGGAAGTGGCCACTTGCTCCTTCATGTACTTTCCTGGCCTGGTCTAGGGCCACACTCTGCACTTGCTCTTTGTCTGTCCCTGACCCTGTCTCTGCTGTGCTGGGCTTAGGATGGGCTGGCAAAGGTTAGCATTCAAGGCCACTCCCTATCAAACTAGCCCCACACCTCCACCTCCTTGGTCTGAGCTCTGCCTTCCCGTAGAGCTGGGAGCAGGGGATTCAGGTAAAGAGGACCTAGCATGTGCTGCCTAGCAGGGCTGCTGTCCTTGCCCAGGGGTCGGGCCCCTGGTATAAGCACCATGAGTGAGTGTCCTCCTTTGTGTGGGAGCTGGACTTCTGTTCCAGCCCTGACATGCACCATGCATACAGAGTGCTCCTGGCCCACTCATCACCAGCTCCTTGTCTTCTCAAAGGAGGGTCAGATGCTAGATGATCTGTGTCTGGAAAGGAGTCACCAGGTTGGGGGTTTCCACCCAGGATACCTGGGTGGGGGAAAGAGCTAGGGGGCCTCTAGTTGCAGCCAGGCTGGTAGGAGCCCTGAAGGTAGAGGTAAGGCTGGGGCCAGCCTGTGTTTGTGTGTGTATATACATGTATGCAGGGCCAGCAGAGGGGCTCCTGATCTTGTCCTGCCCTTACCTGCAGAGTTTAACCATGTTCTCCTCCTGTATCCCAACCTTGCCGCCTCCCATTTAGGCCAGGTGCAAAATCCTCCCAGCCTTCAGGGTTGCCAGAGTTAGAGGGAAGGGGGTTCCCCTCCCCCTGAGCCTTGCAGCCTCTCCTTGGCCTCCTCTTATGTGTGCAACCTCCAGTCAGGGGTGTAGGGCAGAGCTCTCTGATGGAGGGGCACCTGGGTCAGCCCTGAACCTAGGACCTGCCATGGGGTGGGTGTTGGGGCCACAGGTGTGCTTGGAGGGCAGACCAATGGGCCTAGTTGATTGTAGGGCCACCCTTCCCTGTGCAAAGGACCTGAAACTCTCAGGCAGATGCTCAGGTGCCCTGGGAGCCAGACCTTGTGGCTGCCAGCAGAGATCCTGGTACAGGCAGAAATGCTTGCTCTACAGCTGTTGCAGGCACTGGAGCAGGAGAATGCCCGGCTGGAGGCAGCTCTGGAGTGGCGGCGCTATGAGCTGGTCTTCTGGAAGTGGATGGTGAGGACCCCATGCTGCCCCTCTCCTTCCTGGCCTGGGCAGTGGCCACACATTGGGAGATTGGGGGACTTCCCACTTCCTGGACAGGAAGAGGAACCCTGAGGGAGCCTGGCGCCCACCTGCCCCTGATGTGGCTTGTCTTCTGGCCTTACCTTGTGCTCTCAGGTGTTGGGTTTTTACATGCGCTAGGGATTGTAGCTGCCCAGCCTGTGGGAGTACCACCACTGTCCCCTGGGCCTTTGCATCCTCGACTCCATGGGCTGGAGGCCCATGCCTGGTACACACCCTCTTGCTTGCTTGGATCTCTGCAGGACACGGTCCTGGGTGCCTGTCCCCCAGAGTGCCATGCTGTGCCCACGTTCTTGCCCAGGATCCCCGAGCGTGGGAATGGGGAGCTGGAACTGCTAGCTCGGGAGCTGCAGGCCCTGCAGGAGGAGCTGAGGGAGCAGGTGCTCAGCCGGCGCCAGGCCTGGGAGACCCAGGTGAGCACCACCCACCTGACTGGGCCCCACCCTCCAGGTTCTGTTAGTTTTGGCCCTGCCCATGCAGGCCTTACCCCATCAGACATTGCCCTCTGCAGGCCTTGCCCACCCTTTAGCCCCCCTGCTTGAGCAGGGTTGATTCCTGGACATGGTGGACTCTAACTGAGCCACTAGTTGGATTACCTAGTTTAAGTGGATTAGGTTTGGTAGGTGATGCATTTGGACCAGTTTCCAGCAGAACAGGGAAGTGTGTGGTGAGGGGTCCCCACAGACCACTGCAGCAGCCCTCCATGCCTCCAGACCGCCTGATTCAGGTCTTATTCTCCAAGGGACCCTGGAGAAGGGGTGAGCCTGCATTGCACGGCCCATCCCCTGGCATCCATGTAGACGTCCCTTTGCCCTGCTGGTCACTTCCACATGATGCCTGGGGCGTGTGCCTCTTGCTCCTGCTTCTGGCTACTGCCCCATATTCAGTGGACCTCTGAGCAGGCTCCTGGCTGCAAGCACTGAATGCTACTCCATTTCTTTTGAACCCAGGTAGTACAGAGCTATATCCCTCATCCTTTTTATTTTTTTAATTATTATTTTTTATTTTTTGTTACTGGTGATTGAACTTGGGACCTTGCGCTTGTGAGGTAGGCAGCAGAACTGCTGAGCTAAATCCCCAGCCCCACCAATCCTCTTTTTTTTTTGGTACCAGGGGATCAAACTTGGGTCCTTGTGCTTGCAAGGCAGGCGGTGGAACCACTGAGCTAAATCCCTGGCCTTTTTTTTTTTTTTTAAGACAGTGTCTCACTGTGTAGTTGAGACTGACCTGGAACTCACTATTTCACTATGTAGCCCAGGCTGGTTTCAACTCACAGCGATCCTCCTGCCTCAGCCTCCCAAGTGCTGGGATTACAGGTATGCACCCCTAATCCTTTTTCAAAAAATGTTTCTGAAACAGGATCTTACCAAGTTGCTCAGGCTGGCCTTGAACTTTTTTTCTGCTGTACTGGGGATGGAACTCAGGACCTTGTGCTTGTGAGGCAGATGTGTTGCCATTGAGCTGAATCTCTGGCCCTGCCTTGAATTTTTGATAATTCTGCCTCAGCCTCCCACGTAGTTGGGATTATAGGTGTGCTTTACCATGCCTGGCATGTTTTCTTTTTTGAAAGTGTTTTGAAACAAACCACAGGCAGACTCCCCTCAGCTCCCTGTAGGCCTCCATGAAGAGCAGGGTGTTCCCCATAACTGTTTCCTCAGGCCCTTCCTTCAACCCAGGAATGAGGCCAGTTTAGGCCATGTCCCATGTCCTTGGGCAGTCCCATTCTGCCTAGCCCCAGATGTTCAGGTGGCTCCCTGGGGCCATCTGGAATGAGCTGAGAGTTCACACCCCAGGACTGTCCAAGGGCCAGAGGTGGCCTCAGTGGGCAGCTCCCTACCCTGGGAGTTAGGAAGTGCTATAGTGGAGGGTGATGGTAGGAGATTGCATAGACCTGGAGAGTGGCAGGTAGGCTTGGGGGTGAGAGGCCCTGAGGTTTTTGCTCTGAATTCATTGTGGTGCTACACCCACCTTCACCTCCCAACCAGTCAGCTGGCTGGTGGGGACTGAGAGTGTTTGTGGCCCAGCTGTGGCTGACAGGGCTGTATGCTCTGTGAGGGTGAAAGGAGGCATGGGACAATGACCCCTTCTCTCAGGAGAAGATACTGGGCACCATCGCTTTTCCACAGAGAAGTGAGGGCCCTTGCTGGGAGCCTCCCCACTCCCAGCCCCAGGAATCTTGAGGCCCCTGAGTCCTGTGTCCTGGGGATAGAGCTGCCATGCCTGAGTTGCTGTGGCTCCCTCTGTTCAGGTTGGAGGCCTGGGCTGTGGGCCAGAGTGGCATGCAGCACGGCAGGCCTTGGAACAGGCTGTGGAACAGGAGCTATTGGCCTTGCGGCGGTCCTGGGAGCAGGACAGGGGACCCAGCCTGTTTGAGGGGCCCCACCGTCTTGCGAAGATCAAGGCTGGGACCGCAGGATCCCAGGGCCTGCCAGTGGCTGAAGTGATCAGGGCCCTGAGGAGCCAGGAGGCCATCCTGGAGGTGATGCTCTGTTGGCTGCAGGGACAGTGTCGGCAGGAGCTGGCCAGGCTGGCAGGAGCTGTGCCGCAACTCATCTGGATTCTGCCACCTGGATGCTGAGGTCCCATAAACACACCCTCCCTGTGGAAACCTTCCTGGGCTGTGCTGGCCTTCAGAAGAGGTTCTGGGGCAATGGACCCAGGGCTAGTACCCAGCCCTTGGCCTGCAACACTGGAGCTGGCATAGCTCTTCCCTGTGAGGAGGCCTGGAGGGGACCCAGAAATAAATGAAGGAACCTTCCCTGCTTAGGGGACAAAGCCACCTCCCTCTCTGTTGTCTTTCTAAGTTTCTCTGTCTGGGTGGGAAGAAGGAGCACAGGCCCAAGGTGGCTGAGCTAAGCTGCACCAGAGGCACCCTAGAAACCCTGGGGACAGAGGCTCTGGGAACCCCACATCTGTCCTGAATACAGTTGTGCCCCTCCCGCTCCTGCCTTGGCCCACTGCAAATCCCAGTGCAAGCAGTGTACACAACCTCCCTCCTGTGCTGGTGGTGGATGTGTCTGTGTGTCGGGTGGGGGCCGGATGGGGCCTTGGGGCGCTCTGGTCCTTTCCCTGGGGGTGTTGCCCAGGGGGAGGGGAGGCCAAGTGGACAGAGGGGCTTTGTTCTGGAGGCTGCTCCAGAGCTCAGCCCAACAAAGAGCTGCCTGTGTTGGGTTTGCACCCACAGCCCAGCAGAGTGGCCTCTCTTGCTGTCTCCCCCACCAGCAGGCACAGGTGTGCTCGCAGCTTCCAGCCTTGTCTGTCTATCCTAGGCTCTGGACCCTGACCTAATGCTGAAGGAGAGGGGTCCACTGAGCTCCCTCCAGCCTCCTGCTAACTTAGGCCAAGGTTATTGTCAGTCACTGGGTCCACTGTCAGGTCCATCTTACAGAGTTTCTCACCTGACCCTCGTAGGCATGGGGCCCACAGTGTTGCCATCCTTGACCCCACAGCCTGTTTAAGCTCCTGTCACTTATGGCCTCCTCCCTGGCTCCTCTTACTACTTCCATCTGTAGTTTGCAGCTCTGGTCTAGGACATGGGGCCTTGAGGTGGCCTCTGGAAGTGGGAAACCCTCCTGCTGTGCCTTGGCCACCTCCTGTGTTGTAAGCAAGGCCACGTAAGCTCCCTGAGGTCAGGTACCTGTCTGGCCCAGGGTTCCCATCAGAACTTCATTTTAAAACCCAGATGCAGATTCAGTGTCATGGAGCTGTCACTTTTCCACTTGCTTGGTGGCATCAGTGCAGTTGTAGTCATAGTTCTTGTGTGTACCTATCTGTGCCTGCAAGTCTGTCTGGGGCTCCCGAGGTGATGGTGGGTTGTGGCTCTGGGAGTTGTGGCAGCAGGGTGCTACCTTGCACAGTCTCAATGAGCAGCCATGGCTGACAGGCCACGGGTGTAGTGGTTTGAAACAGCCCACACTGATGATCTGTAATTCTGTGGCCTGAGCTCCTACACCATTATGCAGGGCTGAAGCCAGGTATTGGGAGTGGGCCCTCTGGATCCCTTGGGAAAATCCTCCCCAGCTCACAGGGACAGCTGGCTGGGGCTGCCAGGGTCCTCACTCACACCCAACTCGTGTCTTTTCCTGACTGAGGAGCAGTGTGCTCACACTGTGAGCCCATCACTGCCCACACTGCTGGACAGCAGGGCTGAGGACCATGAACAGCTCAGGGCCAGTGTGAGCATCTATGTGAGGACGTGCAGCACTTCACTCTGCTCTCGTGGAGACACTGCAGAGACCACAGAGCCACATGAAAAGAAAACTTGGGGACTTTTACTTATTCAAAGGCAGCATAGCTGGGGTTCAGCTCAGTGATAGAGTGCTTGCCCAGCATGCGGGAGGCTCTAGGTTCTGTGCCCATTACCTTGGGAGTTGGTGGGAAGACCCCATGTAGAAAATGAGCCAGGTACAGTGGTACACATGTGATCCAAGCTACTCAGGAGACTGAGGATGTGGGGGCGATCTGGCTGTGACATGTCACACCGTTGACTGCCAGGGTTGATGCAGCTGATCTGGCTGGCTAGGCAGGTGTCCCCTTCCTCCCTCACGACTCCATGTGCGTCCCTCCTAGAGCTGCGCTCTCAGTTGAAGAGGATGGCTACCCTTGATAGAGGAGGACCGTTTCCTCAGTCTAGGTTATACAAGCACCTGTGCTCCCCTGCTAGAACCTCCAGAGACGCTCTCAAGGAGGCTGAAGCAGGAGGGTTAAAGTTTGACTTTGTCTCAGAAGGGCTGAGGATACAGCTCAGTGGTAAAAGTGCCCCTTGGTTCTATCCATAGAACCAGCACACACAAAAAATAATTTGCTAATTTTTTAAGTGGTTAAAAAAAATTAAGAAAACAGGACCATCATTCCTTATGAGAAATAAGAACAATGCAGCTGGGTGTGGTGGCGCATGCCTTGTAATACCAGCACTCAGGAGGCCGAGGCAGGAGGATCACTGAGTTCAAGACCAGCCTGGGCTACATAATGAGTTCCAGGTCAGTCTCAACTACATAGTGAGACCCTGTCTCCAAAAACAAAACAAAACAACAACAACAAAAAGAATAGTGCAGGGCCGGGGATTTAGCTCAGTGGTTCTGCTGCCTGCCTCATAGGTGCAAGGTCCTGAGTTCAATCCCCAGTACAAGAAAAAAAAAAAAAAAAAAAAAAAAAAAAAAGAACAGTGCATTACAAGAGGAAGGTCCCATCAACAGGTCACAATGTTCACCATTATAAGCAAGGGTGCGGAGCCTATTGTGAGAGACTTGTCACAACCACAAGGGTCCTTGTGGGTACACAGTCCTAGAAGCAGGGGTGAGTTGGAAGACCTACTTTAGACAGCCTTTAGGTATGCCCTGTACACTTTCTGGGCCTGGTTGATGCAGAGACCCTACCAAACAGTCTCAGTCATGTGGGGCTGCATGATTGTACCAGGAGAGAAGCCAAGGATGCTGTTACTCTGAGTGAAAACTGGAATCCTTAAAGGAAAAAAAACATGTTGCAGGGAGACAAGTCATTAAAAGACCTAAGATCAGTGGTACAGTGCTTGCCCAGGGTACCAAGCCCTGGGTTCTATCCTCAGTACCCCAAATAAAAAATATAAATGAGCTTTAACTTGGACAGGGAGGGGACTTGCACTAGTGTTACCCATAGGCCTGCGTTGGGGGCCATACAAGTCATAGGTGCTGGCAAATTCTCTGGTGGGTGGTTTTGTGGATACTGGTTTATTGGTTCATAAAATGCATACATTCCACCTTTTTGTTAGCTGTTTTAAGTATCACTTTATGCAGAACAAGAACTTGTTCCATTTGCAGCATCATATCTGTCCTATGCTGCTTCCTTCAAGCCCTGTGTTCTGTCAAGTTTGACTCCTGGTCCTCTCCATATTTGCCTCATTCACATGGCCCAGGGTGTGTAGGGCTGGCTGGGATGCTGGTGAGTTAGGACTATGGCCCTCTTGCAGCCACCCCACCATGTGGATGCCTGAGGAGCGGACCAAGTATCCTATTGACATCCTGCTTTGGCTGGAGAGGTGTTGTCCAGATGACTGTCCCTTAAGTCCATAGCCCTGTCCACCCCTTGTTCTCCAGTTTTGTCTCATGCCTGTCCTCAGACCCTATCCTTCTATCGCTTTGTGCACACATCAGTCCAGGCTGACTCTATCCTGTGGGAGGTCAGTTCTGAGCCATCCCTACCTCAGGGATGACTGTGGTATTAGGCCCTAGGAGGTGTGTTGGGAGGATGAGGGATGTGGCCCTTGTCACTTTTGAAGGCGTCTACACAGAAGGGGGTGGTCATGTGCTTGATCCAGCCTCTGAAACCTTGGTTCTGTATGTTCTGATCAAGGATGTCAGGACACAGACATGGGGTGAGACATGAAGGAAGACGCCATTTTACTGACAGATCCAAGTTTGGGTCCTCTTCATGAAAGGGACTGGGAGGCCCTGGGCTAGCTGGGTTGGGGAGTGAGGGGGAGCAGGCACAAGCCTTCACAGTAATCTCCACAGGAAGAAATGTGTAAAGCCAGGCAGGCAACCTGGAGACCACCTGGTTCAGTACTCTCTGCAGGTCTGGGGTATGGGGCTGCCTTGGGTGTCTAGTGCTTGGCTGGGTGAGGAGGGCAGGGAGGGAGCCCAGAAGGTGCCAGGTCTGGGTGTGGTGTGCACAGGGTGCAATGGGGCTAGGGCCTCAGTGCTTTTAGGAGTCCTTCACTGTTCTCCAGGGCCAGTTGAACCACAGTTGTCTAAGCATCAAAACACAGAATAAACAGCTGGGGGTGTAGCTCAGTGGTTCTGCTGCCTGCCTCACAAGTGCAAGGTCCCAAGTTTGATCCCCGGTACAAAAAAACAAAACAAAGCAAACAGAATAAAGAGATGCTTATTACAGTGTCACGGTAGCCAACATGACCTCACCTGGGACAGACACACTCTGATGTGGGTGACTGGGCTATCGCCTGCTGTGATGGGGATGCAGGCTCCACATGGCCACATTTGGGGCACAGGAGGGGAGAGGAGAGGCCCTGGTATTGGTGTGGGGTTGGGGAGACTGGATGAGCCCAGTTTTGTTACTTCCCAAAAGATACGGAACAAGTGGCAGTGTGAGAACAGAAAAGAAGGGCAGCTCCTAGACCTGAAGCTGCCACAGAGAAGTGGGCACAAGATCCTGTTGATGTCCCTCAGTGCACCTGGGGGTCTCCTGAGGTGTGGCCACTAGAAGCAGTGTTACCTGGACTGGAAAGTCACTGGTAAATGCTTCCCAGTGGTGGCTGATATCTGATCACACAGAAGCCTGGCTGCAGAAATCCTGGGCCCTGGTATTGCACCACAAGAGAGGCCAAGGAGAGCCGGTAGACCCAGGGTGAGGAACCCTCATCCTCACCCGGGAGGGAGGGTGAACCTCCCTTCCCACACCAGGGCCTCTGTGTGCAGGAGAGATGAGGCAGCTACTGGGAGCCCAGAGCCCTGGGATGTGAGCTGGTTGCAGTGGCCAGGTGAGATATATGGCTGCTTTGAGAGGCTCTTGGAGGTTTCTGAGTTACAGCAACTGGAGTTACCTTGACTTGGAGACTCTGATTCTTGGTTTCTGGTGCTCTTAGCAGTCATTTTTTTCATGGCACCTGTGGGTCAAAAGAAATAATGAATAGTTCTATTTAATTACTAGGGCCAAACAGCTTATG